AAAGTATCAGCTTCTAACTCCTATGAATCGGGCTTTGCAACCAGGTCTTCCCAGCATTTGGTGCATGTTCCATCATTTCAAAATGAAGCATCATTCAGTGATTTGGTGGGTTTTGTTTCGTAGGAGAGGGGGGGGGACCCCTCATAACTTCAGAAGGGATGCAAGTTCATGGGCTGTTAATTTTAATTCATTTTTAATCTCCTAAATTATGACGCCATAAATAAGCTGTAAATTTTTGCGCAGCAAGTCACCGGGGCATCTGAAAGCCATTAGGAAATAACTGCGCTTTGCTGCAAACTGAGATGGTTTGCCATAAAGGAGTGTCTGGGGTGGTTGGCAGGGGGCAGGGGGAGGCGGACAGGTGCGTGGGGCAGAGAGGGAGGGGAAGCAAGGATGCTGGATGGGTGGCAAAGGCAGCCTGTTTTTAGGTCAGTGACTCCTGTTGTTTTTGCAATGCGATGCTCATATTTACTTGGAGGGGAGGAGAAAAGGCTCAATGATATCAGTTACTGGGAAGAGAGAGACCCTCCAGTGCTTTTTCAAAATTCCAGAGATCACCAAAGATTTATCATTCCAGTCCCCAAACATTTATTAGCCTGGAGGGCCAGCCTCTCTGCTCACGAGGTCAAACGCCCTTCTCAAACCTGAAGGCGAGACGTGAAGTGTTTGGAGCTCATAGGACCTAAAGATAAAGCTGCAAAACTTTATGACTGACACAGTAAGTCTTGTGAGCAACGCAGGGAGGCCATGAGCCCTTGTGCACGTGACCAGTGTTTTCAATTCCAATACTGTAAAATTACCGTCCAGAGGTCTGTGAGATCCATACGCAAAGAAGGCATCAATTTTCGTTCTGCCCTGTATCCATCACACGCAGCGTTGTTTCCATTCTGCTGCAGTTCATCTTCTTCTTTTTTAATAATTTTTTTTATTAAGTTTTCCATTTTAACCATCCAATCAAATCACATTAAATATTACAAATTATGCAAATACATATCATAAAGTCCTAATATTTTGCCAAATTATAATTTTTTGTTGGGGGTTCCCATGCTTTGAGTTCATTGGGGTCCAATCATCTCATATTTGTACTGCTTTAAGTGTCCACTAGTCCCATCGTTGAATCTTCTTGTTATTATCCTTTTCTTTAGTAGCCTCTGAGCCTGCTGCAGTTCATCTTCTGCCCATGACTATGCTATTCATCTTGGTCTCTGCTCTGGTGAAAATATGTATTTATGAATTAATTGTGTAAATCAAATAATTGCATTGTCATGCTATTCCACCCCAATGGGAAGCAGAAGGCAAATGTGTTGGGGTGGAGGGGCAAAATAAAGTACATATGGTTTGTAGACTGAAAGCAACATTGCTGTTGTTGACATCCGTCTGTCTCGGGAGAAAATAGAGGAGTGCGGCTTTGGGGGTGAAATCAAACCATTAGAGAGTTATAGCACCTGCTGTGGCTGTAGAGACCGAAATGGGAAAGACATGTTTTGTTGCAGCTGAGGCAGATTAAGCAACAACAGTAGTCTCAGCCTGAATCCCTGGTCTGGAAGCTTTATTTGTTAGGATAAGTGTAGTTGGCCAGTCTGTGAAGGCAAATTCAAAGTCTGTGGGGCTGCAAGTTACGGGCACACATTTATCTGTGAGGTTGTTAAATTTCAAGTGTGTAAAAATAGAAAAGGAAGAAAGGTAATAACCATTGTGGTCTTGTTAGGCAGAAAAATGCCTGAGTAGTGCCCATTAAGAATAAATCAGTGTTTATTTGTATCTCCCCAGGAGCTAAACGAATAGCCTGTTGTTTCCATGGTTTCATTAGAAATCTATGTAATATATTAGAGTTGATTGAACAGCGTTAAGGTGCACTGATGTGCATTGAGTGAATCTTTCATGAACTAAATGGCCCCCACTGATTTAGAAACAACCATTGAAGGACTGACAACCCTGGTAGAACCCATAGGACCTTGTTTTCCTTTCTATGTCCATATTCGTCCTTATCAAAGGGTTGTGAACCATTTAGGGTAGTCAGAAGAAGTTTTGGGGAAGCAGCATGGGTCTGGAAACATCAATATTTGTGCATCACCGAGTGACAACGGCTTACCGTTAGTGGGTTATGTTATCAGTGTTTCTACAACTGGTCTTCACATCCTTAGCGGACGGAATAACGAGGATTCATTGAGATGGAAGATCCTACAGGGTTTATCCCAAGTGTAAAATGGCATGGCTGTTGGTGATTAATTATGAGCATCCTGTCCTTTGCGCCCTGGAAAAGACCATATTTCCAGGAGGGTCGCCCCTAGCAGTGCTCCAGGAAGCATTTGTGGAGCGCAGGGCTTTGCAGCAAGAGGTGAAATGATATAATCTGATCTCACATCTGCTTCCTGTTGTCTGGGTATCAGAGGCTTTCTTTGGTCTGCAATAAGCCCATTCTTGCTGGGCAGAGGCAGAAAATGTGACTGTTGAAAAAACAAGAATGGGGGGGGTGGAATGTGTCTGGAATAGGCATTGCTCTCTGCTGCCAAGCTGAGATATTTTGCTCCTTCTACATCTTCTTTTTTTAATATTGTGGAGGCTGGCCAGTTCTGCCCTCCTGCAGTATATGAAGAGTCGCAGTATTCCTTGGATTCAGAAGGCAGACAGCAACTGGGTGGCAGAAGAGATTGCTCCAGAAAACTCTCCGCTATTGGGCTATGAAATGTGGAGGGAGAGCGAGGGGCTGTGGGGACACAATGCAAGCATCAGGTTTGAGACCAGACAGGGTGGTTTATTCTCTCTCTCTTTCCTTACAGAATGCAGGAGTGCAAATCTCTCCCTCCCTGCCTGCCTGCCTCCCTCCTTTCCTCTGCAATAAATCTTAGAAACTGAGACATGAAGGAGCTTTCTTTCCCAGATAACACAGACAAAATTATTTGGCTGAGAAATGAGCGTTTGGCCACAATAAGGGAATTTTATTTTTTTCATAGCAACATGTGAAACCTTGTGCCAGTTTGGGCCACTCAGTCCATCTAAGCCCAGTATGGTCCACTCTGACTGGCAACAACCCTTCTGGGTTTCCAGCTCATTCAAAGCAGTGGCTGTGGTGGCTGAATGAGTGAGTGGAAGACACTATAGCTGCACCTCCCACCCAAGGAATCCTGGGAACTGTAGTTTTTTTAAAAGGGTGCTGTGAATTGTCGTTCCGTTAAGGAGGATTCCCAGGATTCGTGAAGTGGGGAGAGGAGAATGTGCTTCACCTGTATGGTGTGTATGCAGACACAGGAAAAGATTTGGCAGGATGCAAGGCAGCACCTGAGTGATTAAGGCTCTCCTGCACAATGGCCATAATCTCTGGGAGGTTATTCCTACTCGGCCACTGAGAGCAGCAGGTATTAATCGGGCAGTAGTTCGGCACGTCTTCCAAAATGTGCAGACCTGCGTGATGCCTTCTAGCCCTTTCACTTGGCCGCCACAATCTTCCAAACACAAGACTCATCAGACAACGAGACTCCTCTGGGCGAAGGCAAGACTTCAGAGGTTCCTTGCCTGCTCCATCTTTTTTTTAAAAAAAAAGCCAAATGAAAATTTAGGCAAACAAAAAATAGCCGTAGGTTTCTTGTGACTAGTGTGTTTTGTGTCGATTCCACATGTCAGTTCCGTTCTGTCACTGAGGAAAACTTGGCAAGTTTTGCTAATGCTGAAGTTGACATACAAGAGGAATGCAATCAGTGTATAATAAGGCAATACATTCACAGAAAGATGGGCAATATCTATTCAGTTCTGGAATGATAAATGATGACATTCCACCTTATAACTTACATCGATTTAATATTTTATTTTGTAAGTGGGTTTTTTTCTTGGTACACCCCCCCCTTTTTATTATATTTCTTCCATTTACCGTATTAATTACTGGTTGTTGAAATGCTAGAGTGAAAATTTACAATCGAACCTTTTTTAAAAGAAAAAAAGAGAAAAAGTTTCATTCTGTCTCCATGTTTGTATCAAATCTGCATTTAGTGACACACAATCATGTAAGTGTGTGTTTTACAACATTCAAGTATGCAATACTCTGCCCCCTCCCACTAATTTTTTATTATGCAGGAAAGAGCATGAAATGGAAAACAGTAGCAGTAAACAACCACAATACAGTGGATGCTCGGGTTGCGAACGTGATCCGTGTGGGATGCACGTTCGCAACCCACAGAGGCGCGTCTGCGCACGTGCGGGTTGCGACCCGGTGCTTCTGTGCATGTGCAAAGCGCAATTTAGTGCTCCTGTGCATGCGTGACCGCCAAAACCCGGAAGTAACCCGTTCCGGTAATTCTGGGTTTTGGTGGTCCGTAACCCAAAAAAATGCAACCTGAAGCATCTGTAACCCAAGGTATGACTGTAGTAATAAGGAACAGCATAGGTACTCAGAGCATGACTGATCCCAAAGCAAGCACAAAGCACCGTGCTAAAACAGATAACTTTGGGCTGCAATAGCTTGAGCTAAGGGGATGATTGGGATGAGCTAAGGGGATGATTGGGGAATGAGATGACTGCCTCTCTCTTCACAGACATATTTCAAGACTGCAAACCAAACTTTGCCCAAGTGATCAGACTTCTTTGCGATGCTGAACAAGGTGTTCTGAAACATACACATTTCTAAGTGCTTTTTATCCTTAAATGCTCATCTTAAAATGCACTTTTTTAAACCAAGAACTGAACTGTGAAATTCAGAGAAGTGTGAAATGTGAAGGGGTAATTATCTGAGCAACCCTGTCTATAGAAAGTCAGCCTAAGCTACCCCTGTTCCAAACTCTGCTCAGGAAGAATTTGGAGGTACTTGACTCACAACAGCCTTTGGATCGACTGAGTTCTACCAGGTGTCTAGGTCATGTGACCAAGGTGAAAGGAGTTTGGACGGCTTTCAACTGGAGGGGCCGGTGATTAATCCTGGGACTTTCTACACGCAAATCATGATGGGCTACGGTCCCTCTCCCAAACTTGTGCATTCAAGTAAAGCAAACCTTTCTGCCTCTGTTTTTCAGGGCACAGCTTCCGTTCTCCAGCGCAGGTCTGACAACGAAGAGTATGTGGAGGTCGGACGGCTTGGACCATCAGATTATTTTGGTAAATTCCCAATTTTATTTCAGTTTGGGAAACAGTCAGAAAGACAAGCAAGTGTAGGTTTATTATGTCCTTGGGGTGGCTACGTGGGAGTTGCCCTGTTCTGTTGTGCAGGATGTGAGTCTCCCTTTGTGCTTCCACATGAGGCCATCGCTGAGAAGGTATGAGAGTTTCTAGTGGCCAGTTGACTAAAGTAGCCATCTGAAAATTACTCAAGATGGCCCACAGGATGATCCAATTGGCTTGGAATGTAGTAACATATACGAAGTTGCCCATCTAGTCCAGCATCCTTTTCTCACAGCGGCCAACAAGAGGCTTTTCATAGGCCCACAAGCAGGGACTGTGTGCAACAGCCCTCTCCCCACTTGTCATTCTCAGCGATGAGTCTTCACAGGCATACTGCCTCCGACAGTGGAGGTAAAGAGGGATATGGCTTCCATTCCAACCTGTATTAGCCACAAGCAGCGCTGTTTCCATTCTGCTGCAGACCAGTTTCTGCCAAATACGTTAATTCACCCAGCTGTCTGCTATACAGTGGTGCCTCGCAAGATGAAATTAATTCGTTCCGCAAGTTTTTTCTTCTTGCGAGTTTTTCGTCTTGCAAAGCACGGTTTCCCATAGGAATGCATTGAAAATCAATCAATGCGTTCCTATGGAAACCGCCTTCAGACCAGGTCCGGGGACAGTATGTCCCCCGACCTCTTCTGAAGGCTGGGGGGGGGGACAAGGGCTTTTCTTCCCACCGCCAGCCTTCAGAAGGCTGTTCTGAAGGCTGGCGGTGGGAAGAAAGCCCTTCTCCCCACCTCCCGCCCCGCAAGCTCCTGGGACAGGAGGGCTTTGCTGCCGACCGCCAGCATTTTTAAAGCCCCCGGGACAGCGGAGACTTCTCCGCTGTCCCGGGGCGATTTTAAAATGCTGGCGGGTGGCAGCGAAGCCTCCGCTGTCCCGGGGCGATTTTAAAATGCTGGCGGGCAGTAGCGAAGCCTCCGCTGTCCCGGGAAGGCAGGCGGGGGGGAGCAAAGACTTTTGCCCCCCGCCGGCCTTCAGAAGAGGTCCTGGACCTCTTTTGAAGGCCGGCGGTGGGCGAAAGTCTTTGCTCCCGACTGCCAGCATTTTAAAAGAGGTCCCCGGAGATTTCCCTATGGGCTTTCTTCTTGCGAAGCAAGCCCATAGGGAAATTTGTCTTGCGGAACGACTCAAAAACGGAAAACTCTTTCGTCTTGCGAGTTTTTCGTTTTGTGAGGCACCACTGTACATAACTTACATTAGCTTTTCACATAACTTGCATTCATTTCAATGTAAAGGAAACGTGATTGAAAAATAATTAACTGGGTATCATTTGCAGACTTACACACACACACACACACACACACACACACACACACAAACACAAAGACCATACCACAGAGGAGAGAACAGGGGCTGTGATCAAAGCAACAGGTAACATGCAAAATCTTCAGAAATGTGATGATGGTATTTCCCCCCCCCCTCTCTCTTCCAGGAGAGATAGCCCTCTTGCTCAACAGGCCCCGGGCTGCCACTGTGGTGGCTCGTGGGCCCCTGAAGTGTGTCAAGCTGGATCGCCCTCGCTTCGAACGAGTCCTTGGTCCTTGCTCAGAAATCCTCAAGAGGAACATCCAGAGATACAACAGTTTCATTTCCCTCACTGTTTAAGGTCATTCCTGCTGGCTGCCTTTTATGTTAAAAACTTGTGCACTTAAATTTCGACCCATGCCGTTCCATAGCTTTTTGAAGAAAACAAGAGACGTGTGTATTTTACGTATATTTTTTAAACGATCATGTCAGGGGCACTAGATATCCGATCATCATCTTTGTTATTATGTTAGAAAAAAAGGCAGTAGAGAGCTTGATGAAAGTGGCTTTCGTGAACCATTTGTAGGATTTTTTTAAATTTATTTTTTCACATCCTGAATTACATTCCTGGTTGCCCTGGTCATGACGCCTCTCGGAATGCAGTTTTAAATACTGAAAACCACACATTTCAGCATTTATTTTACCTAAGTGTGCTGAACAGCTGGTCGTATCTATGTTTTGTCAAAGGGTAAAACAAAACACCTAAACCCACAACTACTTGAATATTCATCTTCAGAATTCTTCTTAGGCGGATTAGATGTTTCCTAAGACCCTCCCCTCACAAAAAAATTACAAAACCCCCTTTTAACATTTGTGAGAGTTGATTAGCGAATGGAGCCATAGTCCAACAAGGAGCAACAGGCCCATAAGCTCATTGAAATCACCAGGCTTAAGCTACAGAGAGAGTTGAAGGATATTCAGAACAGAGACTAACACCAAAACAGGTCTCCCTTTTATGAATATCCTACCCTGAGTGTGCTCATCAGTGCGATAAGGTTTGTTTTCCCTTCCTTTTTGGACATCCAACTCTGCCCTGAGATCGATGGCTCAAAATAGCAACATGGTGTAAGAAGTGGGTGGGACCTCAGCTTTGCTGCTCCACATCAAAGCTTCTTCCTGCGTTAAGGATACCGTAGCTCCACACGGCTCAGGAATTTGGCACCAGTGGTGAGGGAGGCCGCTTTTGGCACAGTCACGTAGCAGGTGACTTGGGCATGGCAATGGGACACTGACGCTGCCAGAACTGAAATACCTGGGGGGGGCAATTATATCTGTTACGCTGTTTCCTCTTCTGAATCCAGCATGTTATTGAGGAGGGAGTTGCCTTACACTGAGTTAGACTGTAGTTCTACCCAGCTACATACCTTATAGCCTCCTCTGGCTGAAAGGTAGGTCTCCAACAGATCTCTTTCCCTCGACCCTGCTGCTCGAGACCCTCTTAATTGAAGATGCTGGGGACTGAATACAGCGCCTTCTGCATTTGATGCATGCTGTCCAGCACTGAGTCATTGCTGCTCCTTCACCGTGGAGGAAGCATCAAGCAATGGCAAGTTCTTTACATGAAGGAACGTGGCGCGTGGCAACTGATAGTGGAATAGGCGGAGAATGAATTTGGACAGTCTTTAAGGCAGAGATGGCCAACACAGCCCATAGAGTCGAACATGGAGCGATTTTGAGGGGGCAAAAATAAACTGTGATCCCTGATTAGCACCTGTGATCCCTGATCATATTTTCCACCTTAAAAGCAAACAAACTGTAAAGCTTTGGTTTTGATTGGAGAAGTGAAACACGGATGGTTGTGGCGGTGGTGTTTATAGCTGTATTCCCTTGCAATGTTTTCTCAGTTTAGCTCTCTTTCTGGCCCCCGCCCTGCCCAAGCACTCATTAGCCTTGCTGGGACTAATGGTAATAATTAATAATGCAAGGTGTCTGCCCTGCTCAGCGTGGAAGAGAATTTTGCCGCTCCCCCTGCTGTTTCCCCTGGACTTCTGATCAGGTGCCAAAAGAGTGGCAAGTTTCATCTCACCCCCTTGGCAAGGCAAAGCAGAGGACTGGCTTACAAAGTAGTTCTTAAGACATCCACACACGGCGACAAGTTACTACTTGGCAGGTGGTCCATCTGCATGGACACGAGAGGTGAAGAAAACGCCAAAGAAAAAATGAATCCAAATCCATAGCTTTTCAGAATGTGAAGTTTTGAAGCGATCGGTTTATATTTCCCGCACTCCTTAAATTCGCAAACCTTGGCAAAGGTCAGATCTCTTTGCTGTGGGGATTGCTTACTTGCACCCTGAATGTGAGTTTAGTCACCGTTTGCATAAATGTTTAGATGGACATTTACGGAAGCAGGGAATCCGCTGCGTTCTGACAATAATTCATTTCAGTGATATTTGTAAAATGTGAACTGATTTTAGACTGTAGTTTGTTAGGTTGTCCACCCTTTTGAACTCGCTAGGTTTAACACTCTAATCACGTTGCCATACAATATTTCACTCCATTCATAGGCTGCAGGCACAGTTCTGCAGGATTCTGCAAGGCTGTGCGGAATGAATGGGGGCTGCCTATGAGACCTATGGCGCCCTTTCATCTTCCAGTGAGGCTTGTTTGAGGCAGATTCCAGCTGGACTGTGTCCTGTGCCATGAATGTTAGGATGGGATCCTGTCTCTGCAAGAAGAGTTTCAGTCTCATGGGTTCCCTCCCCCTCCACACTTTGTTTGATCTTTGTAAACTGTGTTTATTATTCTTATTTATGACCTTGGTTGCTGTTTTTGCATGCATTGAGAAATGTGGAAAATCAGTTGCCATGTTAGATAATGTAATGGCACCATCTAAAAAAGATTTTTAAAATACAATATATGTAATACTTATCTAAGACTCCTTGTGAAATGTTTTGGTATTCTGTCCTGTGTGGATTTTTTTTTTTAAAGAAAAAAAGCGCTTTTCTAAAAAAGAGAGAGAGAGAAAAGAGTGAATGTTTGATCGTTCTTTCTGTTTTGCTTATTGCATTTCATTGACTGCATTGGTAAAAATAAATAAATGTGCCTGGTGTAGTAATGCAGGAAACATTTGATCACTGTCACATTGCGGAGAGTATCAGACTCACAGTGGAAAGGTTTATAGGTAGAAAAAGACTGGGTGCAATTCAACAAAAAATAGATGCACAAGTCCCATTGAAATAGATGCATAGAAAACCTAGAACCCAGCTAGAGGTTGCATAAGTAGTGCTGCAGTGAATAATTGATAAAGTAGTTAAAATGAGTTTTTTAAAAAAATAAAACCATTTTAATGGACAAAAAAAGCTGCTGCTGATTAACTTTTTCGAAAAACTATTATTTTTTAAATAAAAAAACAATTGCATTGAAGGATTTTAACCTACTGAGTACTGAAATCCAAATGCATTTACAAAAAGCTAATAAAAAGCAATATATGTCAAAAAAGAATATTCTTTAAAATTCTTCCTTTAAAAAAACTATGGTTTTTAATGCAAGGACTTGATGGCAAGCCCCATGCTTTTCTCCCATATGGAGGGAATTCCTCCTCCAAGAGATGCAGGCATAATCCATGCATGCACTGATTTTACCTGTAAGTAAAGGCAGTCTATTATGAAGCAAGAAGCAGGATTTCCCCCCTAGTAGGCATGTAATTATGAACCTAAGAAGCTGGATCTGGCCAATGATCCATCTCGCCCAGCATTCTTGTTCTCCCAGTGTCCACCCAGACATCCCTCAAGCAAGACATGAGCACACAGTATCCTCCGTGCCTGTAATTCCCAGAAACTGATATGCAGAAGTACCATATTTTTCTATGTATAACATGCCCCCATGTATAAGACGACCCCTATTTTGGGGGCTGCAACCAATCACACATCCCCCCCTATGCACTATCTGTGTATAAGACGACCCCTGTCTTTTATCATTAATTACAGTAAAAAAAACCTAGTCTTATACATGGAAAAGTACGGTATACTGCCTGCAACAGTAATGAGAGAACATAGACATGGTGGCTAGAAACTATTAGCAGTGTTACCCTCCATGTTTATGAGTCAGCAGAAGCATTTCCTTCTGTGTGGGAGATGGTCTAAAATCGATGAGAATAGTCAACCCGTTTTGAAGTGCTTTTGACCAGTGCTGCTGTCTAAAATTAAGAGATGTGGGCAGGATTTTCTGTCCGTGAGAATTGACAATGGATCTAACCATTGCTTTACTGTAAAGTGGGGGCTAGCATCTTTTGCACGCAGTTAATGAAGTATTATTAATTTCAAATGGGACCTGGGCACCCCTAATTCTTCTGGATTGCACCCAGTCTTTGCAAGGAACCTGTCATTCGGCCAAAACCGCATTGCAATTATTGTTGTAACTGTTCCAATGAAAAGCAGAAACGTGGACCACTGGAGAGCATTTCAGTGGAAGCAAAACGAGCAATGTTGCATTTTCAGGATTACCGATTGGGATGATGGAACAGAATGATGTCATGAATAAAATTCTTGGAACTTAGAAGTGGTTTGTGAGCTTCTTTCAGTAAGGAAAGACCCTATGTGGCTTATACTAATAGAATGTATCATTGCATAGTTTACAGCAGAAGTGAACTCATCCCAATCCTTATACAGTGGTACCTTGGAAGTCAAACAGAATCCATTCCAGAAGTCCGTTCGACTTCCAAAATGTTCAGAAACCAAAGTGCAGCTTCCGATTAGCTGCAGGAAGCTCCTGCAGCCAATCGGTAGCCACAGAAGTCACGTCGGACGTTCGGGTTCCAAAGAACGTTTGCAAACCAGAACACTCACTTCCGGGTTTGCGGTGTTCGGGAGCCAAAAACATTTGACTTGCAAGGCATTCAGGATCCAAGATATGACTGTGTAGTCAAAGCGATGATGTCAACCCACAAGGTTATTGGCAGGCTTAGCGGGAACACCAGTTCTGCAGAACTACAACAGATCTTTAGAGGAGGGGACCCAAATAAGGAATATGAAGACTGAGCATGCTCCATGGCCATGGGATGGTGCCTGACTGTGGCAGGGATGGGGCAGGAAAATGGGGGAGGAGACTGAGAAGTGGAACGGGGGGTCCTTCAAGAAAGCATGGCCGGTGGTGGCTGGAACAGGAGGACTCCACAACACGGCATGTTGTGACGGGTCTCGCTTCAGTTGCAACATCATGTGCCCATTCGTCAATTGGAGGTGTACTGCGGCACCAAGCAAGACAAATGCTCACTCACATGAACAAAGGCAACTAGAGGTTCAGGAAGGGTTAAATCAAGAACAGTTAGCTCAGTTGCCTGTACACAGTGTTTAGATATGAGTGTAGGTTCCTGTTCTTCCCACACACACACCCAGAAGGGGAGTCACTGCCACTGCACAAATCCACAGAAGCAGAAACAGGTTCAGTATGAGCCACTGGCCTTCCTTTGCAGGGGTGGGTAGGTAATTTGCAGCCTAATTTGCACTAGGACTATTTAGAGTCTTCTGTGAATTGGGTCCAGAGGGTTTTCTGTGCTGCCTTCCCACTGGCACCTGCCTTGACTTCCAGCCTTCTGCAAACGGCTGCACCACACAACTCTTGGCGCCTTCCCATCATCTTCCATCTTTCCTCACCTTTCCCAAGAGATGAATGGGCATGTTCTATCATAAAGTGGAATCTATCATAAAGGTGGTATCCTTGCCCTTTGCTGCCCCTAATGCCTGTTCTCTGCTTATATCTCCAGCCTTCTCTGTTGATATATAGCAGCCTTGCTCAACATGATGCCCGCTGTATGTTATAGGAGTTCAATGAGTCCCGGCCAGCGTGGTCAACAGTTGGGGGTCAATGGGGATTGCCATTGTTACCTACTATGAGGTAGGAAATAGGATGGCCATGTGGCTCCAGTGAGACAAGCTCGTGTGCAATTGTGCCTGGGAGTGCAGCTGTACGAATCAATTCAAAACTATTGGCATGGTGTGTCCCATACCCAATGTTTTTGGTCTTTTTTTAAAATCCCCCACAGCTCCTAGTTGGGGAATTAAAGATTTATTTGGCTAACATCCTTTGCAGGGTAAAAGAGCTGGCCAGCCACAGAGGCAACATCTGCTACCATCTGTCCGCTGGCTGGAATGCGGGAGACGTTTTGCGCTCCATCAGGCTGGTCCCACCATAATACGGAGGATCATAGTCTGCCGAGGGTGTGTGAACGACACAATTATCCAGCGCTGGTATTAGGCACAGGATTCAGGAGGCTGGCGATCCTAGCTTCACAAAGCATGCACCCAGGCTTAACGAAAACCTCTGAAGCAGAGGGGAGGCACAGAGGAAGACTTGCAGCGGCAAGGATTTTGCCAAAGAGGAAATTTCAAAGCGTGTTGGGAAGGTTTCTGGTTGGGCGAGGGTCCTGAGAAATTTGCAGGATCCTGAGAAGTTTGCAGAATTGATGCATTCGTTTCGAACACTTCTGCAGGACTTTTTAGAGACAGGCACCTCTCAAAGCAGCTTACAGCGATACTAAAAAGAAAATGTCAACAAAGCCCCCATGCAATAGAAATCAGGAACAGGGAGGCAAATACTTCTGGGGTGCTTGTAAGAAAGAAGGCTGGCTGGGGCTGGCTGTGAGTTGGTGGGGCCATAATGCAGTGTTTCCCAACCTTGTGCCTCCAGATGTTTTTGGCCTACAACTCCCATCATCCCTGACTAGCAAGACCAGTGGCAAGGGATGATGGGAATTGTAGGCCAAAAACAGCTGGAGGCACAAGGTTGGGAAACACTGCGCATAATGGACCATTGTAGATGGTGAAAGCGCCTGCAGAAGGACTTCTGCTGCGGATCTCAATGGGACCTACATTTGCCTCATGCAGTTTTGTTCTGCTATATATGGGTTAAACGTAAAGGTAAAGGGACCCCTGACCATTAGGTCCAGTCGTGACCGACTTTGGGGTTGTGGCGCTCATCTCGCTTTATTGGCCGAGAGAGCCGGTGTACAGCTTCCAGGTCATGTGGCCAGCATGACTAAGCCGCTTCTGGCAAACCAGAGCAGCGCAAGGAAACGCCGTTTACCTTCCCGCCAGAGCGGTACCTATTTATCTACTTGCACTTTAAGGTGCTTTCGAACTGCTAGGTTGGCAGGAGCAGGGACCGAGCAACAGGAGCTCACCCCGTTGCGGGGATTCGAACCGCCGACCTTCTGATCAGGAAGTCCTAGGCTCTGTGGTTTACCCCACAGCGCCACCCTGATATATGGGTTACATGGACATAATTCAAAAAAACAATACCTAGGCATGTTTATATGGAAGGAAGCAGTCCCTGAGGTTAGGTGTGTGCAAGACATTCAATTATGTTTGGATTTCAATGAGAAACTACCTATCTGCGCATTTTGAACCAATACAGGAATCAAATCACAGTTATCCTTCAAAAGTTGCCCTTCTCTGAATTTTGCAATTTTATGATAATGATAATAATTTTATTATTTCTACCCTACCGATTTGGCTAGGTTGCACCAGCCACTCTGGGTGGCTTATTTATTTATTTATTCATTAAATTTATACGGTATACGGCCTTTCATCACAAGAACTCGGGGCGGTTCACAGACTAATGCAGTTCTCCAATGTATACAAAATGTAATAAACTGCATTTATTAGGGAAAGTGTACATTAAGACGCATGCATTAATGTAAGAAATATATCTAAAAAAACAACAACAGATTAGATACAGGGAAATCACTTGCAAAAACGTGCACGTTCATCAAATTGGTATTAAAAATGTGTCTATTGGAAGAAATCCGCACTAAAATGCTGATAAATTTTTATGAGAAATACACACACACACACATATACATATATAAATATATATATATAAATATATATAAAGAACCCGCAGATTGCTGTGGAAACATGGGCCTTCTCTGTGAGCAGAAGGGCAACAGGAATTGGGCAAAATCTGGAAACCTATGGCAATCAGCAAACACATACATCTGAGGCAGAATCTGGGTTTTCTCTTGACAAAATCTGATACAGAACAGTCATGTTTAACATAGATAAAGGCCTGTCAGAGTAACCTCCACACACGTGGGGTGCTGTTGCCCTTCCACTGGGACTGCTGCCCACACTCCTGTTTTGCACAGATGGCCTGAGAGATTTTAGTGCCTGAGACGGCCTCCTCCAAATGGTGCCCCTCGTTCCCCCAGTAGCAATAATATTAATTAAAAAAAATAAAAATCGTTCATTGAGAATCTGCTGCCCTTTAATTTAGGTTGCCAGCAGACCATAAACACATCCACCTGGAACATTTTTTGGCTTTTGGGCTTGTTGCCAGAAACGCAATGGACAAAGGCAACCCTCTGCCCCCCCCAATGTGTTTTTAAATTGGAAATCCTGGCCTATTTCTGTTGTTTTTGTTGTTATTAACATTTCGATCCTGCCTGTTCTTGAATAGAGTGAGTGTGCAAATCAGGGATAGGAAATAATCCATCCAAATATTTTTTGGGACCCCGGCTTCCATCATCCTTGACCATTGGCCATGCTGGCTGGGGCTGATGGGAGTTGGAGTCCAACAACATCTGGAGGGAGGGGCACAGGGCCCCAGTGTAGATAGTGATTCCTAGATTGTCTCCCTGCCTGTTTTGAGTGATTATGATTCATTCATGTGCCTATGACCGTTTCAGGCTGAGGCTATAATAAATATTGCTAGGCTCTACCCCAAATGATGACCACGACTGCCAAAAACAAAAAGCTAGGCATCTTGTTACGGGAAATTTAGACTAGGGATGCGAAGGTCCTTTGCAGACACATCCTACAACATAACAGATAAGCTACTTGGCAGTGGTGGGCAACGCTCTGCACACCCGTATCTATGTTTTGAAATGAAATTGGGAGGGGCCTCTCTCAAATTGCACGTGCGTGGAAAATCCCCACAGATTCCGGGCTCTTCAATACACTCGGGATGCAACGGGAACCTGCAGTGCTCTCTGTCTCTTTCGCTCTCTCCTCTCTCTTTTCAAAAGCTCGCATTGAGACTGGGGAAGGCTCAAAAAGTCGGCTTAGCAGAGAGGAAGGCAGTCGTGCCAGGCTCAAACGCATCCAAACATGCCATTTTGGCGCGTCCGCCAGCAACGCTGAATGACTTGGCAGGCGGCGCAGCTGCTAACATAATCTGGAGTGGCGACACCATTGCGCTCTTGCCGCATTAATTCCAGTTTCCATTTGGCTGGCTCTCTGGGCTGAAATTTATGAAGGCCTCTGCAAGGTTTACAGCAGTGTGCTTCATAATGTGTTCTGGAGAACCCTGGGGACTCCTCCAACTTTATCAAGGGCTGCTCGGGGTTCCTTCCAGCCCTTCAACTCTATGATTCCATTATTCTTTCCTGAGAAGATCAGGTGTGGCTAACAAACCTTCTTGGAAAACCAGCTCACACGCCACTATTCCAGTTTGCCTTGCCATGCGCAGCCACAGGGATGAGTTTGCTGTCTTGCTGGGAGCATGTTCAGCTGAAATGAAATTGAGGCCCAAAGATTCTGTTAAGTGACTAGGAATGG